ACCTTGAACCAGTGGAAACTTGTTGGGGGGGACAAAATGTCACCCCCTCTCCCCACCCGTGGCCCTCTGATTATTTCTCCTTGTTGGAAGGATTCCCTTTGTTGTTGCTGCAAGGCCTCAGGGTCTCTTATTACAGTGCAAGCCAAAGCAGTGATCTCATTGGAAAGCCACGGTGTTAACAGATGGGCAGTGTTCAAGTGTTTGTTCCCAGGCTGGAAAGTTAAGAGGCGGCGTAACTTACAGTCTCCCCTGCGAGGCCAAGATTCAGGGAAGCCACCACTGGCTTCTGGCCGATGCTCAGGCAAAGCGCTGAGACACATTCATTGCAGCAGAAACGTTGAGTGAACCCCACTAAGTCCTAGGGTGGCTTTCGGGCCCTCTTCCATCCTTCCTTTCTACTGAGACTTCCAAGAGAGGGGGGAAGCGGTTGGCCAACGTGCCGGGGATTTCTGGGACATCTACTTACTGGCAAAAGAACAGAGCAAAGGGACTTTCTAAGAACCCGCTTCACAAATGGCAGCTTTTAAAGGGGAACAGAATGTCTGGCTGGGAGCCGGCAGGCCGACAAAAGCAAAAGGCCGAGGGACCTGAAAAAACAGATGCCACTCCACCAGGGCCTGGACTCTGAACCATGTGACGTGAGAACACTGACTAGCTGCCCAGCTAGTGTGAAAGATCTGTAAATGGTATTCCTAGCCCTGCCTCCCTGGAGTGAGAACACATACCTCAAGCAGTTTTAATTGATCAGATACTACAGCAACGGGGTAGAGGGGACATAGTCCAGAGGCGAAGGCTGGATAGACAGCACCTATGTAAAGTATCTTTCCTTTGACGGCCACTTTTTGAGAAAGCTGATGTGAATTGAACTAAGTATACCTAAGGTGGCAGAACACTTTGGAGAAGGAAGTTAAGGCAGTGCTCTGAGATTCAGATCTGGTTTAGCTAGACTCAAGTTTGTGATCTCAACAAGTACCTCACCTGTGTGCCTTGCCTTCTGTCTCTAAAATAGGGACATTTTGATTGCTGATACCAAGTGGGGGGAGGAGGGGTAGGAGACGTTCAGGTATTACAGCAGCAGATGGAAGCTATTTAACTAGGTTGAGTAACGGGAAGGGGAACATAACCATCTAGAACATAGGCTGGGGGGGGGGTATGAAGAGATTCCAGGGGGGAGGGAGAGAAAGGAGGGGAGGATTTCTCAAAAATCAAGAAGGGGGCATAATGCCAAAAACTTTGGGAACCACTGACCTAGGAGGACTTAGAATCACCTCCAAGACTAATTGCTTCAGGGCATTTAAAACAGTCACTGAAGAAAGATTCTTGGAACACGACAGTGCCGTTCTGGACACTGTTGGAGTCGATTACATAATAGGTTGCATACAACTCTAGTTTCTATCAGAGGTCTAGACTATTTGGTCACCTCCATGACCTGCCACCTACAGAAGCATGCATACGAGAGATTTGCACAACACTCGCATTGCAACACCGACAGATTTCAGGCACGATTTGCACATTGCTGTTTGCATGGTATGTCAGGAAAAGCGTTTCAGCTTGCAACCATTAAAGGAAATGGGCCTAGCCTCATACCACAGCCTGAAGATCTTTAGCAAGACTGCAAACATATTGCTGAGTATTCAGCATGGTACACCGGCACAGCATAAGCCTGGTAGATGGAGCCAAGCAATGGGGCTCTCTGTGGGAGCAGCAGTGAGTAGCTGGCAAGAGAGTTGACCACTGAAGTCTTGTGTTTATAGCGTCTGTCTGTCACTATGGAAACTATTACAGCATGGCCTGAGCATTGTGGCACTGTGGGCTTGAATGGTACAAGGTTGGGTGGAGAACTCAGTTTTTAGAACCATACAAGTAGGACAAAAGTGCTGCTTGGCCAGGGGCCAACGAGCAACACTAAACCAACCCACTGTTATTGAGCTTGCTACTTTTACAGGTGGCAAGAACAGGACCTTTTAACATCCCTCCTGATGACCATCTTGCTCCTTTCCCCACTTCAATCCTGACATGAAAGTTATAGCCCAGGCCCAGTGCCTCAAAAAATATTCAGACTCCTAACTTCTGCAACTTAACACCTTTGAGGGCTGGGCCCAAGGACCTAGCCACCCAAACCAATACTCCATAAGGGTACAAAGCACTCCACCCTCCCTCCCCACCCAGGGAAGGGGATGAAGCATTTATGTCTGCGTCACAACTGATGTCAGCTTGTGTGTGGCAGAGGCACGACAGCAAGCAGAAGGACTTGATTTTAAATAGAACAAAGCCACAGCATGGGCAGATCTCTGATATCCCAACCTCATGCCAATTCTCCTCGGGGCCCTGCAAATCCCTCTGCCAAGGGAGCTCAATGCACAGAAACAGCAGTGGTGACAGTGAAAACAACAGCTACCCCCATAGGGACTGGGGGATATGGGGCTAGAGGAAGAGTGGATAACTCAAAACTCACCTTTTCTTCAACACAGCCCCAAGCTGCCATTTCAGTAGCCGTGAGACCACTACAGTCACTTTTTATTCCACGCAACCTATTCAATGGCCCAGTTTGACTGAGCTGCAAAGCTTCCTGGCAGGTGGACACCTCCCTGTGATGTCTCAATCCCAGGGCCAGCACAGAAAGTCTCTTTGGTTAGAAACTGTGGCTGAAAGTGAGCAGGCGAGACAAATGCCACCTTTAGCGGAGGAGTAAGGGATTCAAATAGTCCAGAGAATCTTTATTAAAAGGAACAAATCAAGAAGAGTTGGGGGGTAGGGCATAACATTCAGGGTAGTAGAGCAGGCATTCAGAACATGTTCCTACTATTTTGTCTTGCCCGGGATTGACTGTCCTTAGCAGGATATACTGCATAAGCCAGCTTCCAGCATCTTTTTAAATGAAACGTACAAACCCTTGGGTAGTAGCCATCAGCCCCTTAGAACGTGCATTAGATCTACAGGGACCTCAGAGGCCTCTTGACAGTGTTCCCTGTAAGCTGGGTGCTTGTGCAGTCACTCAGGAGAGATTCAAATGCTGCACAGCTGATGAGTAGAGCACACAGAGCAAGGTGTTGCCCCGGCCCCACCCACCACACCCATACCTGACTGCACAAAATTGTGTTCTGTACATAAATGGAAAAAGTCCACATGGATGGAAGAGATAAGGAACATGGGCCCTAGATACTACAAAAATGTGACCAATGCAGGTCGTCAATCTTGGATTTGACAGACTCCTGTCTTACTGCTGTGGTAAATAACGGCTAATTGTGCAAGAGAGCCATAGCAAAATTGCACACTTCCCCAAAGAACTTCTCAGAAGGGACACATGAAAGTAGTGACTGTTCAAAAAATTGGAGGAAACAGAGGGAGGCAGTTCTAGCTTAGAATATGCACTTAACTGCTTCAGAAAAGGAAAAATAAAGTATGGATTTTGGTTAATGGCACATTTTCTGCTCTAAAAGCCTGTAAAGGCTATTTCTACCCTTCCATCCACTGTACAGAGTCTGCTAGCTAGCCCTCAGCAACACTGATACCAGGAAGCAAGATGGCTTTGATGCACTTTACACCCACTACCTAGAAACAGAGCAGCCAAGTGGTGAAGGGGGAACCACTCTACAAATTCTATATTTGCATAATTTCCATAGCAGGGCCCTCTCTTTGCATGAAGCCACTGGACTGTGGCAGGGTGTTGCACTGAGCATTTGTAAAACAGCTTAAAGGGAAGCTAAGCTAAAGACTTCCAGACAATGTGAAAATTGCCAGCTTTCTTCCAGTGGCAGAGGCACAGGTTCAAGTGTGCGGAGGAGCCTAGCTTCTATTAATTCCTATCAAAGTTAGGCACCCACGTACCTTTGATATGTAGGATGCTGACTTGCTGTAGAAGGTGGCCTCTGCCTCACTGTTCAAAACACGACTGTTCATTCAAAACAAGGGTGGGGTGGGGAGAATGGAAGTGTGCACAAACTGCACTACACTTTCTAGTTCCAGTTCTGGGGAGGTGATAAGATTGCTTAACAGTGTTGCTAAGAATTCTGCCACCTCTTCTCTCAAGAAAGCTGACTGCAGAGCAGAAGATGACCCCCCCTGCCCCCCCCAGTCAGGATCACAAACTGTCCCATATTACACAGCTTGTGTCTACAGAAAAGCAGGGACAATTGCAGAACAGCTAGAACCTAAACACACCTTAAAAAACTCTGAAGACTTGGCAAAGGCTTTCACTTCGAGGCAGGGGGAAGAGAAGAGGAACAAGTATTTCAGTTGTACATAATGTCTGGGCCAGGCTGGAAAGTTTTATTAAAGGCAAGCTTGCCTTTAATCTTTTAACTTTTGTTTGTAAAGTGTTACTGCAATTGTTGAATTAGCCTCCCCCTTTGTGGTTGAGCTAGGTTTAGCTCAGTGCAGCTGCTAGCACTTTAACGTATGCCTGTTTGATGCTTGGATAAATGCTCTCATGCAATAGCTCAATTTACCACTTCAGCCTACTGATACTCCCCCTCTCCTTTGAGAGACCAGTCACCTGTTGAACTCATTGAGATTTAAAGTGCTGGCAAGGAAACTCATGCTCATCTCTCCCAGTTTTGGGTCAAGGAAACGTGATCATGCAGAGCAAGACTTTAGTATGGACAGGTCATTAGATCTGTCTTGCTACCTCATTCACAGCTGGACACTTGCCAAGACAGCTAGAGCAGTTATACAAGCGCTATAACACTTGGTCATCTGGGTAACTTGAGGCAACAGCTGGACTCAAGGAGAAGAAACACTGGGGATGGCAGTAGGGTAGCTCTAAACCCTGTGCAAGGGCTTTGAGCACTACCTTGGGCATGTCAAATACATTCCTACTACAAATGAAGTCTCCAGCTACCACTGTAGCAGCAGGTTTGATGTTGCATGCAGTTTGGGGAGAAAGTTTACTACAGCATACATTTAACCACAAAATACTGTTGTGGTGCTACTGCCTTAGCTTCCAGCCATAGGAACAGCAGCTAGCTTTATGGTGCAGCAGTGAACACAAACCACTTAACTGACAAAAGTAGGGATGCTTATTTATTGTGTAAACAAGCAGGCCTGACAATAGCACCATGTTTAAACCAGACTTTGTTTTACATTAGCTTCCACTTCAACCCTAATTCAGTCTGAGCAAGATTAAGAGTACAGTGAAGACTAACCTAATTATGCTGCAAATCAAATTTAATATGAAACTATTTTGCATACAGAGGGGATCAGCTAGCTTATTGATTCAAAAAATGAATACTACATTACACCCTGCAAGCATGTTCAAGCTGGATGTTTAGAAATAGCTACTGAAGGATTGAACCAAAAACACATTAAATTAATGGATTCATGGTGCTAACTAGAGATTCAATCCAATTTAGTTTTATTTCGTTTGAGAGAAGGTCATTTCAAAAATCAAGCTAATATTTGAATGTATCAAGGCTTAAAAAAATAGGTCAAGATAAAATGTGACTAGAAAACAGCCAACAGTGGTTTCCCAAACACCCACCCATCCATTACAGAAGAGTCAAAAATAAACCAAAGATTAAAACAAACTAAAAAACTTGTGCTGTTGCTAGCAAGTCATGGGAAACAGCAATCAGTCATGTTGCTGATCTTGGCCAGAGAAGCCTAGCAGTTTTACTAGAGCACATACAGAAGAGACACTTTGTGGAAGTCCAGATAAAAGTAAAGCAAACAAAATGCTGGATTCAATGGGACTAAAGAATAGTATTTCAATAAAGTGATTTGACTCACTCAAGCCACCTCTCAACGATAATCTCTGTAAAAATGTACATATTTTACAGTTTTGTAGACATTTACAAAGTTCTCTGTACAGCCTCCCCACCCCCTGTGAAGTTTGTACATACTTACAACTGTGCTCCCTGTCTTTATAGCTGCATGTGTTCTTGGGAGTCACAGCAGTGTAACAGAGGGGGGCATATAATGGCCTAAGCAGCTCTCCAAGCAGCCCATTAAAGTTGCTTAATCTGGCTGTAGCTAGTCATCTAGCCTTCAAGATGACTGTACCCCTTTGTACTGCTGATGGAATGTAGGCGTTTCAGCAACAGTTCCACTCATAACTGGTGTGTCTAATACCAGTAGGTGGTTCTCTTTTTGCACTTCTAACTCAAAACACAAGCCACAAACTCAGGAGACCCAACAGGTCCACAGGACCCTAATCCACATTTCCAGTGAGCTATGATCACAACTCTGTGCTAAGGAAATGAAACCCCTTCTGTATACAACCATCATTCCAAACCTAATAAAAGCCTCTAGGTAGTCCGGAGTAAGAGCCATTGGTGCTTTGGTTGACTTGCAGAACAGGAGCGGTTCCCCTTAGTGACAAGGCTTCACTTGGAAATAGTACTCTTGGCATCCTTTCACGAGGCTCTTCAAGGAAGCAGAGTACTACTTGCTTCATTTTCTGTTCAGTCAAAAATCCTCTTGTTGGTACCCTCATTCAGACTGCACCGCACTATCCTCTATGGGGGAGGGGAAAGTCACTCACTGGGATTCCCAGGTGTTATTCTCTATGTTCCCATGAAGTACAGCGTCAGGTATTCTTTCACAGCTGGAATTGTGCAGTTGGCTAACTCTAGATGCCAAGAAGAGCTAGTCCACCCAGAATTCAGTTTAGAGTCACTCCATGGCTCATCGCATCATGTACGCCAAGCTTGCACCCAGTCCAGCAAAGCCTGCAAAAGCCACCAGAACATTCCTGATGCTACCTTCTAGATCCTCTACACGGAAGAATTCAACAAATCCCTCCTAGAAGAAAGAAGTGAATGATTAATGCCTAACATTAGCCATTTTAACTGGGGTGTGCTCACACTGCAGTGTGTAGTACCAAATAGAGAAGCAATTTGATACATTTTACCCAAGTAAAGGAACCTGTGTAGTGGAATAAGTGGGGAATTTGATTCCAATTGCAGAATACACATAGCATGATACAAGATTATTCATCTTTGTATCTTCTGTTTCCCATCTTCAATGGGGGGGGGGGGGAAATCATGTCCACCACAGGTCTTTCAGATACATGGATAAAAGTGATACAAGTGCAAAGTAACAGTATAGAGCACCATGTATTTTTAGGACAAAGTTATTCAGAATCTGCTTGCATGACACAACCAGTAGTTTAACTGGACTGGTAGCCTTAGACATGTACAAGCCTAGGAAATTACTACTAGATGGATAGCTTCATTGGCCACATTCACTCCCTGCAATCTCACTTACCCAGCCTCTTTGGTTAACTAGCCAATCTCGTTTGTCTGAGACAAGCACATCTGTGATGATCCCTGCTAGCGTGTTGATGCAATTCTCCTGGTTTATGCTCTTCAGGTGTTTTGCAACAAAGGCACCAAAAGAGATGAGTGTTACAATTCTACCCCAGTTTGTTATTCCATCACTGAAAACATGGGTTGCAACTGATGACACTGACTTGAGATCCTCCTCATTCTTGATGTCTAGTTTCCGAAGCATCCCTGAAGTGAAAGATTAGCAGAAGAGAATACACTGAGACTACAAAAACTCACTTGTCTAGTGACTGCAGCACAATACAACAGGCAGTTCAAACACCACAAGATAGATCTGCCTTAAGGCCAGACATGTATTATAACACCTTCATCACAAATGGAATACAAGGAAAATGGGCAAGCCATTATCTCACTACAGGCATTAAATTTGGAAGCTTTAATACACAATTCTATTTGCGTGAGCTATTTTAGTTCAAATTAAATCCTTTTTGGGACAGGGATCTAAAATGAAAGTTCCCGACACTGCACCCTTAAGCTTTGGGAAAACACCTATTAGCCAAGTCTCAGTATCCTCCTGCTCAATGGATTTAGAATGACAAGACACTAGCCACCAAACCAGTTTCTTTTCCACCTCTTTTGGACTCACTGAACAGGCTAGACAACTTAGAACAATTATGAAACTGTCACTCCTTTGCATTATTGGTTACAAAAAAGTCCAGCTATTTAACTCAATGGCCCCTTTGAATTAACAAACTAGCTTCAATAGTTCAGATTAACAGAATTCTCCTCCAAGGTTCTGCACCAGGAGTTAAAAAAATTATCTAAAATACTGTTTCCCAAGTAATGCACAAACTGAAGAGCATTAATTTATTCAGGTGGCTTAATGCCAACAGTAAATGCTAATGAACGCCATTCCCAAAGAACTAAATCCCACTGGAAGTCCTCAGCTTCTTTTGATCTAAGATTAATATAACCCCGTGGAAAGTTTACACCATCTCAAATGCTTTAGACTCATTACATTTTAGAGGAGTTATTTGTGGTTTCTCGAGACATTTTATTATATTTCCTCTTCAACCAACCTACTCATCTTTTCTGCATTTGGCAATAAAGCAATGTAATGGTATTGTATTTATGAACAGTACTGCTTAAGAGGAGGAGTCTGGAGATTTATATTATGGTATCTAGTTTAAGCAGCAGCTTGCATTTTAGAAATTTTTCAAAGTTTGGCATTTATTTTGCTATTAATTTAAAAATGACGTTTGAAACACTAGAACAGCAAAGAAAATGTGCTCCTCAAAAGCTACCAGAAACTGCAGATTGTTAATATTCCAATCAAGATTCAGGACACCCACCCACGACCATGAACTTTAGCATTCAAGTTCTGTAGCTATGTTAAGACTAGTGTAAAACGCTAAAAAGAAAATTCAGAATCAACACTTGCCCAGCATTCTGTTTTACTGAGGCCTAAGCCATAAATTGGCTAACCTTTGGACAATATTTACAATGTGTTTGCATGTTCGGCCACGTCTTGCAGCCTCATATAGTTAATGTGTGAATCTAGTTTTGCAGAAGTTAAGGGTTTTCCCCACCCTCCAGATAAACAAGGCTTAGTTTCGTTTTTGAAGAAGCGAAGGTTATTCTTTCCGGACATGCCCTCTAACTGCGGCCAAGAGCCCTGCAGCCCAGCCTCTTGCATGCAGCTGAGCGGCTCCGGAGAGCCCCGCTCAAATCCTGCCAAACCGTCCCGCAGGGCTGGGTCTCCGTTCCCCAGACCAGCCACTTGCAAGACCCGCAAGAGACAGAGCTCTGGAGACCGGTGCAGACTCCTTCGGGGAGCCTGGGGCTGCAGGGGGGGCTCCCCGCTGCAAGACACCACCCCTTAGACGGGCTGCAGGGGGCTCCGGCTGGAACACACCGCCCTCGACCGGCTGAAAGCGCCTCCGCCCGGGTGTGACTCACAAACACTGCGACACCAGCCACTTGCAAGACCCGCAAGAGACAGAGCTCTGGAGACCGGTGCAGACTCCTTCGGGGAGCCTGGGGCTGCAGGGGGGGCTCCCCGCTGCAAGACACCACCCCTTAGACGGGCTGCAGGGGGCTCCGGCTGGAACACACCGCCCTCGACCGGCTGAAAGCGCCTCCGCCCGGGTGTGACTCACAAACACTGCGACCTCCCGGAGCGCCCCCTCCCCCCCCACTCCCAAGGGCGCTACTTCCGCCCCAAGGCAGCTTCCTCAGAGGGGGCCCCGCAGCGACCCTTCCCCTCGCTGGGAGCC